TATCAAATAATATTAGTTATAAGGAATTAAGACCAATCTCTTGAATCATTGATAGGATCCTAGAAAAATATTTAGAAGACGAAATATAAAAAACTATGGTTTTATAATCACAGAACGTCGAAGCAAGAAATATTCTACCATTATACAAATTTATTACATTAATCATACTGAATTCGTCGTGTGCAATACTATGAGTTGAAAAGGTAGCTAATCGAAGTGGATTTCAACAACACGTATTAGTTATTGGGTTTAAGACCAATATCTTGATTTGCTGAGAGGATCCTCGTCCAAAGAAAATATTTAGAAGACAAAACATAAAAAGAGAGTTCTTAAATTACATAACATCGAAAAATAATTATACTACTGCTAATGGAAACTTGTTACAATCATATAGAATCTCTCACTCACTCAAGCCTCAAGAACAATATTACCTATGAATACCATATCCCCAGTATTCTATTCTTTGTACAAACCACAAAGAGAACAAGAAAATGTTAGAATTTTGGGGTGACTCGAGAATTCTAATTGAAGTACACATCAAGAGGAATTCTAGTGGAAATGATTTGAGGAATCATATTCAAGTTTAATTGTCAAATCTTATTTAAAGTTTTATTTTGAAGCCAATTGGGAGTTGGAATTTGAGTTGGACTTGAAGAGTTCAAATAAGGAAACTTGTACGCATTTTATTTCATCTACAATTCTACTTTTAGGGATGGATTTTTCCTATAAATACGAGGCTCCTCCGTCAATTTTGAAAGAAGCAATTTTGTTAAGTTATACTTGTTTTCTCCATATTGTTCAGCAATAAACATCGCTCTTCTGCGATTAAACCTTTTTGTTATTCTTTACTTTAAATCTTGTTTTCTTGGTGTGATCTTATTTACTTCAATATTGTTATTAAATCTCATTCTTTACAATTCGGTTTGGGATCAACAAGTGGTATCGGAGCTTCTACGCTCAACGAAAAATTCCCGATATGCTATACCTAATTTTTTTCTTTTTAGTCACTTACCAGATACAAGAGCAAAGTTGTTAATAAATAATGAATAATTGCAATATTGAGCCAAGATTTCTTTCTTAATTAATGAATGCAACCAAATATTCTTTCCCTTCTAATTGTGGGATTGCTTGACATGTTTTTTCTAGATATATTGGCTCTTTTAAAAAAAAAAAAAATCCAGACATCAATCCGTACTTCGAGTTCGTTGACTACACATACACCCCTTTGTGTATAAACTCTTAAATTCGATAACTTGTACGTAGATCACAATGAATCATAATGCTAATCAATCGGTGATAAACAAAATTTGCTACGTGGTTGATTAAGAATGTAATTGCTTGTTGGGAAATTTCAAGCAAAGAGCATGTGTATACGAGGGTGACATACATCTATATAATATACAAATGCAACATCCTTCAGTTTAGCTTTCCTTATGGGGAAAGTATATACAACATTTGTGTCGGAAAATCCTAAATTTAGTGCCTTTCAAGTCATCTTATATAAATGTTTTATGTGTACAAAAATTGGAACATATTCTGTTTTGCTAGTGATGCATATTACATGTCTAATGTATACATTAGCCACCTGGCCTAGCTTGTTATGTTGTTCCTTAAATGGGGCAATACTTCATTCATTGTATCTTATTTGATTGTTTATCTTTATTTCACTAGCATAATGTGACATAGTGCATTCTTTTTATAATGAATTTGATGTCGATTGAATAGATTATTAAGTGTTCGGTAGTGTTTAATTGACTCCTTTTTTCAAGTGTCGTTTGAATAAATGATTAAGTGTTGAGAAAGTTTTTACTCAACCACCCTTTTATACCAATGTATTGTTTTTGTGTTACTGTAGTGGTTACGTTGGTTTCAACTGAATCATGACCATATATAGTATATGATTGAAAAGTATTCGAACTATAGTAACAATAATATTAGGTATAAAGTATAATTAATTTATGAATCATCATTGTGTTTATTTTATCTTTATATTTATTGAAATACTGCTAGGAAAAAAAGGGATAACAAAATTGAAAATGGTGAAATAATAAATTAAGAAAATAGGTAGAATTGTTAGATTATCTTTTCAATTGAACTTCAATGAATTGTATTCTTAAACCTAGATTGAGAATTGTAGGAGCCAGTGCTGCTAGGAAAGATATTACTGTGATATAGTGTTAGTGATATAATTTTTTTTTAAAATTTTAAGAAGAAATAATGGTACTGTGGTAGATTATGTGAAATTACGTCACATAACTCTTTGCTGATATTAACTAATTAATTCATGTATCTAATATAAGAAATATAGCAAGATTGCTATATTCTTGAGTCTATAGTTCACATTAAGCAGTAATTTTCCAATTTATTCTACATGATGACGAAAAAAATCCGGAGATAAAGTTTTTATTTAATCTCCTAATCATGTTTAAACGAATTAATCGTTCAAGATAAAGGGTCCACAATGAACAATTTTCACCTAATTAATTAGGATCCTGAAGTCAAAAACCCAAGATTTGGATTATTACCTGCCCACAATCTGATGGCTTAGATAATATAATGTATTGCCAATTTGTATCTAAATGACAGGAAAAAGTATACATCATAATAAAAACTGTACAGAATTTTTCCAATTCAAGAAATCCTCTTAAAATGACACGTAAATTATAGATCAAGAAAACTCAAATTAACGACACTTGTACCAACATCTCTTACAAAATATTTTGGAACAAGATTTTAAAAAATGTATATATGTAATTAAATGGAAGGCCACGATCACTTCTAACAAATTGGCTAACCTTAAAATACAACTGTAATGGAACAATCTAGAATTAAGCTGAAACAGGGAGACGACACTTGATAGAACAACTTATAGTTAATGTTAGTCATTAATTTATCTCCAAGGTACGTATCAAAAGTATTAAACCCTTCTTCATGCTCTAGAGAAAATGCACACGTTCATATATGATTTGAAAGTATATAAGTATCATGAAATTTGTGAATACGTATTTATTTGAAAATTTAAGTATTTTTAATGTTCGAACTTTTAGGAGTATTTGATTAATCTCCCATGCATTAATGATATGCTAAAATATTTTTTTCTTGTATTAGAAGTGTAGACTTCCGTTACCACCTAGCCACATGTATATGAACAAATAAAAAAAAATCTAAAGGGAATATCATAGAAAATAAATAAGGAAAATTTAGTGCATGGACATGTATTAACTTATCTATGACTTGCTGCAGTTACTCCAAATTAAGTAAATAATTAGTTCTATTGTGGTTGATATTCAATTTGGGAACTAACAGAACTATTAATTAATTTTGTGCTCAATTCAGAGGGTGTTCGATGCCCTAAAAAAAAATCTAAAGGGAATATCATAGAAAATAAATAAGGAAAATTTAGTGCATGGACATGTATTAACTTATCTATGACTTGCTGCAGTTACTCCAAATTAAGTAAATAATTAGTTCTATTGTGGTTGATATTCAATTTGGGAACTAACAGAACTATTAATTAATTTTGTGCTCAATTCAGAGGGTGTTCGATGCCCATTCTTAAGAAAAATGGATTTTAGAATAATAAATTGATGGAAAATATGTGGTTGAGAAGTTTTTGATTTACGTGTAATATTATTTTAATGAAAAATGTGTGGTTAAAAAGAAGAGAGAGAAAAATGCATTTTAAAAAAAATGGGAATCAAACATGCCGTCAATAAGTTTTAGCAGCATCCGCATTCAACAAGAACTTTGCATAGGATTAAAATATAAAAGTTAAAGTAAAAATTGCAACAGCGGTCCCTAACCTTTTTCATTTTTTTGCAGACTTTACCCTAAACTTCGTTTTGTACCAGTGAAAGCTCCTAACCTTTCATAAATATGCACCTGAAGTCCATTTGAACGAAAATTGTCCATAACACCGTCAATTGACCGGAACTATTAATAATCAATGTCCAATAACACCGTCCAACAAAGTATCAACATCCAATAAAATCGTCGTAATAGTAGATAGTTTAAGAAATTTTTCCGCCGATCAACTAATAGTGTTTTGGAAGGTTTTCGTCTAGATGGACCTTAGGTGCATATTTATGAAATGTTAGGGACCTTTGTTGGCACAAAATGAAGGTTAGGGTAAAGTCTGCAAAAAAAAAAGAAAAAAAAGCTAAGGGACTGCTGCTACAACTTTCCCAAAGTTAAATCCCTTTTTTTTTCCTTTTTTTTTTTGGGGTCCTAACTCCTTAGCTTTCAATGGAAAAGACTGGTAAAGTTCTTGGACTATATATCGTTTGCAGGAGATCACGTCCAATCTCTTTTCAAGTTTGTATTCTAATATTATTCTAGTATGAATTCATATTTCGCTTTTATATATATATTTTTTCTTTTCATTTGGCTCGTGTCGCAAATTATGGACCAAATGACTATTTTATGTATGCGAGAAAATTCATCAAACGTCATAATTTTTTTTTTTTTTTGGGTATTTTATTATGTATATGCCTAAGGGTAGAAGTATATATGCGTAATTTTCAAAAATTAAAAAAGAAAAAGAAAAAATAGAAGTACGCATATACGTTTATCAATTTTTTTTGGTGTAAGAAATATACAAATATGTATAATGAAGATAGTAATAAATCGAACAGAATGAAGAAAACTATTCACCATGTCGACCTAAAATGTATCAAGCTGCGAAATTCGTTTATAGCGTATATGAAGCATAATACATGTATAATTAAATTTTCTCAGGAGACACCTTAGACGTGGTGATGACGAAATGGGTGATGGAATGGTTGAGTAAGATTGCAATCACAGGGTGCCCTTGTGTAGCAATATGGGAAGTACTTTTTCTTTTTCTTTTTTCTCTTTTAGGCGTGGGGGTGCTAGATGTAGCTTTGTCTTTGGGTCACCCCATCATTCACTCCAATACCAACTTTCATCATTCGTAGCCCTCAAATTATGATGTACTACACATATATAATTACTTTCAAAAAATTCCACTCTCTCCCTCTCTCTCTTTCCCCTTCTCTCTCTCCCCCTCTTCCCCCCCCCCCCCCCCCCCCCCCACACACACACACACACACTATAATATAATATAGTAATAAACAAATTCGACAACTTTATGCAATGGTTTGGTAGGATATAAAGGTGGGTGAGGGGACTTTTGAGTTTTAGCATAGTTTTCATAGGAGAAAAAGAAAAATGGGTAGACAACCTTGTTGTGACAAACTTGGGGTGAAGAAGGGGCCATGGACAGCTGAGGAAGACAAGAAACTCATCAATTTCATCCTCACTAATGGCCAATGCTGCTGGAGAGCCGTCCCGAAGCTGGCGGGGCTTCGTCGTTGTGGAAAGAGCTGTCGACTCCGATGGACGAATTATCTCCGTCCTGACTTGAAGCGTGGCCTTCTTACGGAAGCTGAGGAGAGACTGGTTATTGATCTTCATGCTTGTCTTGGCAATAGGTAAACTATGCCTTGCTTCTTTGGCACTTGAACATGTTAACTCCATTAAGCATTGACAAAGGATTAATGATATGTTCCTATGCTCGATATAGAGGATTGGATGATACTGGATATTATAGTACTGAGTTTTGTATGGTATTGTATATTAAACATGCACTAATTGTTTTGCTTTGTGTGACTAGTTAACATTTGACGTGTTTCATGTGAAAAATGGGGGGAAAATATTTCCTTTTTTTTTTTTGGTTATATTTCCAAAGATTACTTAAAATAATGGAGCTTTTATGCCGTAAACTCAATCAAATAATTAAAAAATGATGTTTGGTGAAGAAGGTGTACTTACACCTTTCTTATTACTTTTTGATTAATGGGCGATCCAAGCACCTTTTGTGCGGTAAAAATATTATGGATTGCACTATCTTTTTGATGATAGTACTTTCGTATGCTAGATTGAATAATACCGATAATTTTTTGTTCAGTATAATCGAGTATGCTAGATTGACTACACCTATAATAATCTATTATGTCTTATCGTGTCTGGTCGTGTATCATGTTCATCAAGTCTCTTGCATATACTCTTTATCTCATTTCTTGTACTTCACCAAAATGAATTATTACAATCTTTTACTCTACGTTCTAGTACCAAGTACTTTTAACAATGCAGTGAGTAGTACAACAAACTTGGCTTAACGTTGAAGTGTTAATACAAATATTTCAGACACACCATAATAATTTCATTCTTCTACGTTAGGATAATTGTTTATTATTAACAAATATTTTGGTTTTCATTTATCAGGTGGTCCAAAATTGCTGCAAGATTGCCTGGAAGAACAGACAATGAGATTAAAAATCATTGGAATACACATATCAAGAAGAAACTTCTCAAAATGGGAATTGATCCAGTTACACACGAACCACTTCAGAAGGAAATTGAAAATTCTCTATCTAATACACCAGATAATTTGCCTGAATCAGACAAAAACCTTGTTCAGTTACAAGAAATCACAAATAATGGCATTACAAGTAGCTCAGATGAAAACTCCACATCACCAACTGACCAAAATTGTTCATCTGATGAATCCAATTTTCTTGAAAATGACCCTTTACTCACTTGCTTATTCGAGGACGACCCTACTCCAGTCAATGATGTCACGTGGGAGTTTCCACTCGATCAACCGAAGTTGGATAACTTCTTTGTTCCATCGTGGGACGAAAACTGCTCATGGCTACTGGACTGCCAAGATTTTGGAATTCATGACTTCGGGTTCGATTGTTTCAACAACGTTGAAATGAATAACGTGTTGAACACGCTAGATATGGGAAATGATTAATAAATTTTTCGCGATCAAACACGAGGGGACCGGACCATCAAGAACATACCAGTGTTTAATTAGCCTCATCAGTGCATCCATGTTAAAGTACCATGCCTAGATGTCTCAGTTTAATTAGATTCATAATATAGTTGATTTTGTGGGTAAATTAGAAGAGAAAACCTTTATTTGTTTTGAGGTTTTCACCAACCAAATTACAGAGAAAGATATACCAAATTGCTGTACTCCTTTGCAAGAAATATGTGGGGACAAGCTATAGATTAGGGCGCAATATTGTGGTAGAATATTCATGTGAATATGATACGTTATGTATATTACTATGTATTCTGATCAATAAAGAAAAAGTTCTTTGGAGCTGATTATGTAAAATTCTTGCAGTCTACCAAAGGTCCAATAGACAAGATTAGGGGTGGACAAAATGTCCAGACCAAACCAAACCAAATCAAACCAGAACCGAATCGAACCAACCAAACCGAGTGGTCCGGTTCGGTTCTATGAAAAAAATTAATGATTTTGGTTCTTCAAACCGAGAACCATTTGGTTCCTGTTCCTATTCGATTCTAATGCTAGAACCAAAGACCAAACCAAGAACCAAACATAATTTATAATTTTATTTTTTGTATGAATCTAATTTTATATTAATGGAAGTCAGTCCAATAGCCATTATTTTTTACAGTGAATTAAACGTGTTTAGCTCATTAATTTTTTTCTCTAATAGCCATAGCCGTCCAACCCAAAGGGTTAAGAGAAACCCAAATTCCCAATTCCAATTTGTCTTTCAACATTCACCGTCTCACTTTGGTCATCGACGCCACCTTTCAATCCATCATTTTATTTGTCTCTGAGGACATTTTGAATTCTGAGGTAGTGAGGTATATTTGTTTATAAATACATATAATTTCTAAATGAAAGTCGACCCTTTTATTGGAATTTCTTTATTTTTTGAATTTCTCAAAATTCAACTTCCTAGTGCCTCGGTAGAGGAAGATAGGCAATACCACCACCACTTTTCCCAATCTGCAAACAGGCATCATCATCCCACACCATTCCTTGTTTAGACCGTGCCACTTTTCCTTGTTTGCACAAGGATATCATCCCACATTTGGACAAAGGATGAAATTGAACTCGATATTATTAACTTCAACTGAACTACAGTGCCCACAAGGATGATTGTGCGGTTGACACAACACACAGACATGGGGTCAGGATTATTTTATTCATGGGAGACCCACGCCTCGGCTATGAATGCGCGGTCATCCGCGTAATAACCGATGTGAGTTGAGTGGCTTAATTCTATTAAATTTTGACTCATTCGTTTATATTTTATTTATTAGTTTGGATTTTTATAATCTTGATTATTGATAATTTGAACTTGTTAAATGTTTGATACTTATATTTTTTATTTAAGTAGATATTACTAACTTATAAATATTGTGCAAGACTGAAAACTTAAGTAATAGTACTAGTCTACTAGAATCAAACCAAACCAAAACAAACCAAAACCGAATGGTTCGGTTCAATTTGGTTCCATTTCTTAAAAAAAAAAAAAAAAAAAAAAAACCATTCGGTTCCATTATCAGAAAAATCATTGGTTCATGGTTCAGTTCGATTTTCTTGGAACTAGAACTAAATGGAACCACGTCCACCCCTAGACAAGATCAATCAATTTCATGAATAAAAGGAAATTGCTAGATTTTATATTTATTTCATTATGATTTGTATTTTTTGCCTCCAAAAAGGAGTGTTGGTTTAACAGCCTGTTTGGTTAAGGTAGTTATTACTTTCAAAACAATTAATTAATATATATTGAACGATCATCAAAGGAATTTATTTTCCTTTAACTTATTTACTTTCTAGTCAGTACTTATAATTAATTAAAACTTTTAAGCTTATCCAAACAAGGGGTTTAAAATACAAATTTTTTTTTTTTTAATCTTGAGTTACCTTCAACTTTGCATCCTTCAAGATTGCACATTAAATTATGGAATTTATTGCTTAAGATGTTCTTGAACATAATAGTTCTTTGAACACAAATATTGGATCTGATTGCTCATTTTAAGCGCTAGACATATCGAATTACTTGTTTGAGATTGTTAAATTATGATACCAGATAGAGATATGATGTTCCATTCTAAAAGGTTAATCTTCTCAAAAAGAGTACGTCAAATTCTTATATATATACTACGATATGGGTTTATCCTAAAGAGTGCTGTATTAGATGGTAATTTGTTTGAGAAAGTTAATCTTGAAATCCAATTGTTTGTTTGAGCTCTTACAACTTTCCATTGACACGGCTTTCTATTTGTTTTCATTGAACACTAAGTTTATAGATAGGAATTTTAGGTTAATGAGTCAAGTTATATTTTCATGGGTTGCAACCTTTACGCTTTGGCATTAAAAAATACGACCCCAGTTGAAAAGGCATTAGTATTCTACATATGGAGGAACAAAGGATATTTATTTGCATTAACTTAAGGACCACTAATATATATTTCAATTTAAATACTAGAACCCTATAATTATATAAGACCATTATCTTTGAATTTATCTTTCTTTTACTAGTATAGTTTTATAACACAAAGTTCATGAAGTGTTTAGCCAAAAATTAATACCCTTTGAAAATGATTTCTTGTTTTCTTTTAAATATTTCGAATTATAAGGACTTAATAGAGGCATCAAATGATTTCAAACGTAACAGGGTCATGACCCTGTTACAATTATAAATAACCATGCTTACTAAATGAATTGAACATAACAATAAAATTGTAAAGCAAATACCATGTGTTTCATGAAACTAATTAATTGTCTCAAACCATGGAAGCGTGATCAAGTGACCCTACGTAAAGATCCTCAATATATCCCATTGATGTTGGTGGCGCATCATCATTAATTTGATGCCTAAGTGGAATGTTGAATCATTTGATTCCTTGTGGTTTTGAATTCATTGGACCACGTTTATATATTAAAACTAAGGAGAATTTGGCTTTTAAGAGGTTGATTTTGTTTATACTGTCGTTTTCTCATTTACGAGACCACGTATATTTTGATTGGAGATGTAAATATTTTCGATTTGTGTTGACAATTCCTGAGCATGCAGTAATGTTTCTACAATTCCTTTTTGGCTAGCCATCGTGTTTTAGTACTAGAGTAACTAGACAATCGCTTTATCGATTGAAAGAAATATAATGTGAGGGAAAAGGTAGAACGAAAGGTGTTGTAAGAATATGTAGTCAATTAATTTGACATTTTTTTTTTTCCCTTCAATAGCTTGGTTGTAGCAAGTATAGTGTCTTACTTATTATGCTTTGACGGGCAATTTAGCAAGTATAGTGTCTTACTTATTATGCTTTGACTGGCAATTTAGTACTATCATATTGAAACTATTTAAAACGAGCAAGAAATTTGAAACTATATATTAGTATGCCATTCATATGAGTTAGATGCCACTATATAGAAGATTAAAGTTTAATTACCTCTAGTATGTTCCATTGGCATTGGTAGACCATGTTCTTTCTAGCTAGAGTGGTGGTTAACTATGCAGAACTAATTTTTAATGACGACTTAAAATCATCATAGATCTGCTAAATAATAGCTAACATCATAGCAAATGAAAGACGTCATTGTATATTTATAAAAGAGGTGAACAGCTGGAATATTCTTTCTCATATCCTAATCCCACGTAGTAAAGAAATAATGAATGGCCACAAGAGTACCATTATGTGGTTTACTTCCAAGTGGGAATAGAAATAAGAAATGGAAGATAGGTACCATATGAGAGTGCTATCGAGCCAGAAAAAGGAAAAGATCGAGAAATTGAGAGGAGAGCTATATATTTTCCTATCTTCCGAAGATTTTTGTTTTTTTTTTTTTAATTATGAATCTCAACTTTTATTGAGATGTTTTTATGTATTTCATTATTTTTATAATATAGAATTAATTCAGATTTTGTCCCATGAAAGTAAATATATTGTAAAGTCGTGTATACATGTATCTTTGATCTTGCTCAACGATTAATCTATTTGTCTACTTTTATTCAGACACAGAGAAAAGTTTGTAACAATTTTGTAGGGTTGATTTCCACCGCCACCACGTGCAAAATCGGGCTCAGTTTACCAAAACATCGACACTAACATGGTTGAGACAACTCCAACACCACCACTTGCCGCCGCCCACTCCGGTTGCTACCAACTGGAGAAGGAGAAGTCCAATAATGTGCCCACAAAGGTTAACCACAAAGGTCACAGTGAGGTAGAGGGAGAGGCCGAGAGGGAGTCTCACAAAGAGAAAGGGAATTAGCACACTCTTGAGGCCGAGAGAAAGGGAGGGATTATATGCCAAGTAAAATGTCCAAATAGGTAAGTTAGGTTAGGGTTAAGTGGTGGACCAAAAATAATGCTCGACTCAATTAAGTGGGTTTCAACAATAATAATATAGCCTTCCAAGGAATGGAGCGAGAACCGTGAGCAACACTATTTCAAATAGGTTGCTTCGAACGGTCCATAAATAAGTGGATTGTATTGTCTCGATAATTGTGTCGATGTACTAATCAATCATATGGCCGAGGTCGATTGATAAAAAACAACCGAGATTACATCATCGCTCGAGGAGGTCGTTTGACAACAAATTACCTAACAAATTTCTTCTAAAATGACTTTGTAAAAGTTGTATTTGTTCTTTGAAGAGAATATTACTTGACGCGAAGTGAAAAAGCACTTTAATTAGAAGACATCACCTTCATTGGACTTAAACAATTCCATTAACGGATGATTTTGGGTTAAAATTTTATTCTAGTAACATCACAAAATTAATGTTTTAAATCCATTTCCTGAAAAATTAATATTTTAAATTGGAGTCTAATATAGAGTAGCTAAATAAATTATTATATTCATTTGGAGGGTTAATCTAAGATTAGTACCAACATATTATGAAAAATACGCATTGACACAACACAAAATTAAATAATCCTTTTTTTTTCCTATTACAGAAGTTAAGGTCATCATGATTGATATGATCCAGGTTAGGCCAAAGTAGGCCGCATAGTATACTTCAGTACCAAGTTGAAATTTTCTTGCGAGAATCCTATTTTGACTCAATTTCTTATTTTTGACGAGTTTATTATTTTAGGACTCTTAAATCAGGTTTTTTTTTTGGGTCATATTTCTAGCGTTAGTATAAATAGGAAATTTATTTCATTATTGTATTCCAAGACTTTGATATTTGAGAAATTAATTCGAGAGGCTTTTACTTCCAATCCCTGTTCTTGTAGCAATGAAGGTTGAGAGACAGATGAAGAGAAAAAGAGGAGCTAGTAATCAATAGGGGCCTAATTCATCTTGGAGGTCTAGGTGGGATGA